TACATGTGTATATCTTGGTAACCGCTGCATCAATTTATTCCAAACTTTGCACAGTGGTTGGCCTTGATACAGCATACTAAATGGCCGAAAATTTTAAAAATTGGACAATAACCACGCCCACTTCCCATATAACGGTAATTTTCAGAAATACGAATACTGCGATATTTTAGTAACTACTGAAGATTATTCACTCAAAATTGATATTTACAATAAGTTTTAGACGAAAAATAAGAATATTATAAATTTTTGAAAAATGGGCGTAGCCACGCCCAGTTATGTTTACATGTGTATATCTTGGTAACCGCTGCACCAATTTCTTCCAAACTTGGCACAGTTGTTAACCTTGGTATAACATACGAAATGGCCGAAAATTTTTAAAATAGGACAATAATTCCATATAACGGTAATTTAGAGAAATACGAAATCTTCGATAAATCAGTAATTATTGAAGCTAATTTATTCAAAATTGATGCTTGCAACAATTCGTTACCAAGAAATACGTTTAGGATACAATTTTGAAAAATGGGCGTGGCACCGCCCAGTTATGATCACATACATATATGTATCTCGGTAACCGTTCTACCAATTTGTACCAAACTCGGTGTGGTTATTGTACTTGCCACATAGAAGCAAAGCGTTGAAACTTATTGAAATCGAACTAAAATTACGGCCGATTTTCATATAACAGTAAATTTCAGATATGCTTGAAACTTCAATATTTCGAAATTTAAGGACGCTAATTTACTCAAAATGGATACACCTCGGTTTACCATGTAGCGGTAGCTTTCGGAAAGGTGAAAAACATATATTTAATACTTGCGCCGGGTATTTAATGTTCGGCTCCGCCCGAACTTAGACTTTTTTACTTGTTTTATATTAAATAACTTTTGCTGCATTGTCATAATATAGAGCCAAATGGACTACTGATACTCTAGAATAGAGTGGCAGCATGGTTAAATTAACATTTCGCTTATATTATCGATATTTATGTGTTTTAATATATTTAGGAAATCATTTACAGTCTTATAGGAAATTGCCTTATTTCACTGCCTTTACTTTTTTATGTTACAATATATGTCCAAGCTGTGTGGAGCTGTCGATACAAAAATATATGTAGGCTTATAAACCTGTAATTATACATTTTTCTACAATTAATTTGAAATAGTATGCCCCGACGTATTAAAAATAGTAAATACTTACTACCTTTTCTACTACTTTAAAATGCGTGACCGGAATAGACCTACCGAAAAAGTGACGTTAAGTTACTGACAACACCTTGTTATTATTACCCCATGCGCGCCAATATATGGTACATACGAATAGATACAAAAAAGTAGCATTTACATATGCAAATACACATCGTGTAAGAGCGCTGTAAGTAGTGTTTGCCAAAACATGAATGGCAAAGTATAGGGCGTAAAATAATAACTGTCGCATAGATTTTTTGAAAACTAAAAGGGTTATTTATAGAAAAGTATTTTTTTTTGTTAAATTTGTAAATATTTTACTTTAATTTTACTAATTAGTTTTAAAATTTTAATTCTTATTTGCATTTGCCAGCCTTTGGACATGTCTTTTTCAGGTGTAACCCAAATGAAGGTTACAATGCAAAAACTAATTAATAAAATTTAAGTAAAATCTGTGGAAAATTAAAAATAAACTACTTTTTTATTGCGCTTTTCTCTTAAAGTGTTTACAGCAGGTAAACTCAAATGAAGGTTAAAATTTAAAAAGGAATTAATGAAATTTAATTAAAATTTGTGGATAGTTAACAATAAAGTACTTTTTCGCAAAATCTATGCAGGTCCCTTTTATTTAAAAAAAAAAACTGTGCAACAGTTATTATTTTACAACCTGTGTATGATAAAATATTAATAGCTGGAAAAAGGAGTACAAAAGAAGTACAAAAAAGAGAAAGGAGTACATTTCCAGATAATTTTTTTGGGAGTACAAGGGAGTACATTGCAATAAAAAGGAGTACGTTTACTCCCAAAAGCAGTACGTCTGGCAACCCTATATATGTATATACATATATTTGTATGTAGATATGTGATGAAGGCATTTAAAAACATACCGTTCCACTTGTTATTATATCACTGGACCGATGGTGATAGTAGTATTGTTGCTGCATCGGTTCATACCGATTATTTTTACCATCACTATTGGCACTTCGACCATTTTCGTTGCTGACATCACTGCCACCGGCTAAATGACTACTGCCAAGGCCAAGTCCACCAACGCCGACACCAACAGTGACACTGTCGGCCACATTGCTGCCGCTACCCGAATTCGAATGGAAATTAGTACCTAGAACTTCGCCCACATTTAGTGAAGTTAATTCCGTTGGGAATACGTAGAATATCACCAACAATGCCGAATATACGATTAAATGGAAGATTACGCAGAACCAGATCAGATTTATCTACAAAATAGATTTAAATAGAAGGAAAGCAAATTAGAAATGTATAACCCATAATTCTTTTTTTCATATACGTACACACATACATATAGACATAACTATAATATTTTTTTTTAATTTTGGTTTAAATTAAGTGTTACATGAAATCTCCGAGAGTCGAAATTTTCTGAAATAAGTCTTCAGGGAGGACAATTCTCGCTCAATGTACATAGGGATGAAGTCGACCGCACTTTTTTATAAAATATTTCTTTGTATTCACCACTTCACAACTCCGTAGAGCGGTTATTGAACCCTAGCCTACACTGTAGAAAAATTTATTAACATGACTTTGAACTAATTTTTAAAACTAGTTTATTTTGGTTAAAAAGTTTGTATTTTACGATTGGATAATCAGTAGAACACATTTCATTCTATCAAATTTTCGTTTCAATATATTTTTGGCTGCGATCTGGCAGGCAACTAGGTTCTTAACCAGCTCACGTCTGGGCAATCTAAATTTGTGCTTTGGTCCCAACATGGATACTTGTTCCAAGCAGCTTTTTCTCAACTCGCATTTCCGCAGAGTATGTATGGCACAGAGGGGTCGAAGGTTGATGGAAGGGTCGGTGCAGGGATCTTCTGACAAAAGCTCTCCAACCTCAAATTTACACCGCTATTCTGCAACACTTTCGTATTCGGAGTTTGCTAAGAATCGTAGAAATGGTATGCTGCATTCCGAATCGTATCTTCGAACTTTCGAAATTCGTAACAATGACATGCCTAAAAATGAACGAGTAAGAAATTGCCAGCTTTTCGCGTTATTTTGCACGAAAACAATTCTGTGTCGGAAGCGAGATAAAAATTAAGGAAAAATCAATGTGTGTTTGCAGGAAATATTAGTGGTGTTTTTTTAAACAGATAAATTTTCCTTTCGCATATATATATGTACATATATTTTTCTCTACTGCTTTATATGAACGAACAATAAAAATGTGTGTTGCAGGGTTCGTATTTGCACACACATGCGCAGCACATCCTAACATTTTACGCTCACACACGTGTGCTGTGCATATAAAAAATTAAAAACTTGCTCACATCACATGTGTGTGCCGTTTGGTAAAAAGCACGGGCACATGTGTGTACTTTATTTTTATTAATATCCCAGTGGGAATTAAGAGCACGTAATAATACCTTATTAGCAACTTACTCTTCACCTGGCAGTCATTACCATTTCCCTGCCGAACGTCCCTTACTTTTACAAAGGCATGGCCGCCTTATGTAAGTAGGAATTTAGAATGTACATTTGGTACTTATCAGAGATACTTCTGAGCCGCTTTACAAAGTAAGTTACGTGTAATGCAGAGCAGTCGCTCGGAGTAGTTCGGTGCTTGGAAATAACTTCGGCTGCACGTTATTTTGCAACTGACAACGTAATGTGTCTTCGGAGGTGTTCATTTTGCCCTTTACTAGTAGATGACATTGGTCATGATGACAATTTTGGTACTAAAAACTGAAAGAAAACATGGCTTACCTCGCAAGGTGCTTACCTATTTTCCCAGTGGGATAAAGCACACGCACATGTGTGTGCTTTGCGTAGAGAAACTTATACACTTCGATTTCTATCTCAAATCTTAAAATAATTTTTTAATATGTTTTCTGTCATATAAAAAAACAAACAACATCTCACTTTTCATTGAATTGTCTTTCAAAAAATAACGTTTAATAAACAAATTCTTTTAAAAATATATTATGTGCATGTGCATGGGCTGAAATTTGTACCAAAATCGGCTCACACAAATGTGCATGTGCTTAATAACAAACAGCACACACTTTTCTGTGAGCAGAGTTTGTTTTCCACTTATGCACACACATGTGTATGAGCAGTGAGTACAAATTGAATGTGTTTCTGGCGTGTGTGTGAGCAGAGCATGTGTGTGCAAATACGAACCCTGGTTTGTTGCCCCTTATCGAGAAACTTGGATGCGGTTTAGTTATTTGTACAATAATTTTGGAATGGTGCATCCAAGCGCGTCACCCGAATTAAAAAAACTTTAACATACACGTGTAGTCAAAGGATAAAACTTTAATCTAAAACACAGTTTTTAATTTCCTAGCTATAGTTTATTAATAAATTCGGTTTGAACCATGCACTTTTTTTGGTAAATTTCGATGTTGGTTCTGCGCAAAGATACAGTGGATGGCGTAGCCGGAGTTATATGCACAATAAAGCTGATGCCAGATAAAACGCTTGCTTCGCTTTGACAGATAAGATGAATTATATGAAAATGCACAAAGCATGCCACATAGATCGTTGCAGCTGCAGCACGAAGCGAAAAGATGACTCGCATCTTTTTGCGCGCGTTAACAATCAGCCGGTTTAAGATTTATTTTGTTTCGTCATTCGAGTTTTCATGCAGAAACATAAAATTTAATTACATTCCGCCCTCTTCCCGACGATGCCGAAGGCAGAAATGAGCGCAACCAGGTGGTGGACCTAACAAAATGCATATTTTCAATGGCTTGGAAGAAGTTGTTATTACATTAACTTAATTGAGAACCAGTTCTTCATGCATACATGCGTTCTTGATTACTATGCCCAGACTAGTGTCCGGCCGATCGACATCGGCTAGTATCTGCTAAAAGAATCGGCATCGGTATCGGCCGATTTTAGCCGATTCTTTTTACTTTTTCCGCACTTTATTCCATGTTATTTATTATTTACGTTGCATCTGAGATCCCTTCCACGAAAAAAATGCCAAAAATCAATGGTAAGTCCTAGCTACTTAAAATTTGCTCTTCGTTAAAATAAAATTGACTGGGCTGCAAAACTGCATACTCAGAATGTTTGAAGAAAAAGTTTGAAACTTTTACTTACATGGTTTTTGTTAGATAACGAGCTACACTTTCATAAAAAAAATATTAAATAAAGGGAAATAGCCAATAAATGCTAAAAGGTCTACACTGCACATATTGTTACGATTATCCTTGAATTAATTACTGAATTCCTAAGTCCTTGTTAAATAGTTTACGTTACAAAAATACTTTCATCATTATTTTAAAATATACGGTTACTGTTTATTAACAAATTGTATTCAATACAACGCATTTATAGTCAGTAGAAACTGCAAAATACAATACAAATACAAAACAATCGAATCACTGAATTTTACAATCTGGGCTCGAATCGCAACAAACGATATCGTACTACTCGTCACGTAAAAACACATTTTTCGGATGATGACATACGTAAACGTACTCTTTGTCCAATTCAGCTTATACTGCCTGACGTATCACGTAATTTTCTTTCGTATCGTTTTCGATCCGTGAACGGATGTTACGATTCGAGCCCTGTTTTTTAGTGAATAATTTCGAACTCAGGTGTTAACAGAAAGTGTCTGTGAATACTGAATATTCGTAACAATATTAGGTAAAACTTATGTATGTATATAAAAATCAGCACTTCCACTTCAACAAAAGTAACTTACGTTTTTGCGTAACTTTCCTACCTGCTACCTGTAAAAGGGCGGCCTACCCAAGAAAAAAAGATACGCATACATTCTAAAATACATACATATAACACTATTTATTACTTAAATTTTATTAATTCGAAAATAAGATAGGTTTGGCGGCCCTGGGATCTTCGACTATTATGTTATGAATTGTTGATTGTTCATTAATCAATTGTTAATTGTAAATGTTTGAAATAAATGCATGAAAATAATGTATGGGTAACTCATTTCCAGAACAATTAATAACGTATTAGTATCAAATAATGAAGGATTTCAAACTATACAGCATGTTTATAACCCAGGTAGGAAAAGTGGCTGTTAGACTCGCAGTACTGGCGTAGTACTTTCCCAGCCAGTAGTGGGTTTCACATTTAAATTGCGAAAAACGCGAGCTATTTCGAACAATGGAACCAACTAAAATACATAGTACACTAGGTCCCCTATACGAATATATAAACCACGTTATGATGAAATGTGAGGTAATTGAGTGATTTTTTCCATAAATTTTTTTCTTAAATGGCTATAACTTTTTGATTAAGGGGTTTATAAAATATATTCAGGTTCGAAAACGTGATGTAATAAAGTAGAATCAAAATTCATAATTCTTTTTATACCCGAGCGCACTTGTGCACAAGGGTATTATAACTTTGTTCACATAACGGTTGTTTGTAACAGGCAAAACGAATCGAGATAGATATAGACAAATGTATACATAAATGATCAGAATGAAAAGAGAAATCGGTTAAGCGGTGACTGTCTGTCCGTCCGTCCGTCCGTCCGTCTGTGCACACGATAACTCGAGTAAAAATTAAGATATCTTAACGAAACTTGGTACGTGTACTTCTTTCGGGCGTAGGACGGATGGTATTGAAAATGGGCAAAATCTGACAAAAACCACGCCTACCTCCCATATAACGGTAATTTTCAGAAATACAAAAACTGCGATATTTTAGTAACTACTGAAGATAATTCACTCAAAATTGATATTTATAATAAATT